TGAGTTCGAGTACAGCTGGCCTTGTTGGTGAGATCTAGGCGAGGTCCAAACTACAGTCCATTAAGGATTGGTATACCTTTTGGACAGCAAGGTCATGTGAAATCCGGTGGAAAAATTCAACTATCAGTTCTTTACTACTTTAAACGAGATAACGTGAATACAGCTTTTATATCAGATCTAGTGGTAGTCTAACGAACCTGCTTATGGAATGCAAAATAAATTATAATTATCTAAGGTCAAACAACTCTGCTTAGCAAACAAAATCATCGAAGCATCAAGAACTAAACGTAACCACGTCTTCGCTAACATCCATTGCCGAATACCAGTTGATATCAGATAAAGGCCTAATGTAATTCTGGGAAACCCATGGGGAAATAAATGAGGATGCTGATAATGACAAGCCAATTGGCAGGAAGTGGCCTCATTACCCTTGAATTTCAGAATAAGTTCTGATTTTTCGATGGAAAACGCAATTATTTGACAATCGATAAGGCAAAATGCAAAATTGTACACAATGTAAGTTCCTTATAAATAGGAAATAGGGCATTAAAGGATAGGGAGTTCGGGTAAAAGAAAAAAGAAACTTACAGGTTAGAAAATTGGTTGTCTTACACTTTTAGAATAGTATATATTTTGGTTAATGCATAGGAAAATCTGCGAAAGACCGTTTTATTTTGGGAAATCTTGAACCTGTCCCTTATTTGAAAAATGCGTTAAAGATAAGGCCTAATGGCTAAATTTTCAATCATTGCGTTTGAACTCGAATCTTGGCAAACCATCTCGAAGCCGACAGACCCAGACCGGGGTCATCTGTCCCCATACCGGACAGTTTGGCTAATCTTCTCGTCTGAAATACCCACCTACTGGTCGAACCAGTATGCATCATCCCGCATGATACACAACTGCCCAGAAGACATGCCAGCAACGAGTATGCTACAGGCTGAGAGATGATACAATAAGTTGAGCAGGGGCAAAAAGTCAAGGTGGGCGCGAGTTCAACTCGTCTGTCAGTCGGCCCGCAGCAATCAATTGGCGAGCCAGCCTAACCTCTGCAGAAACTACAGTCCCAAAGGAGGAAAATCCCATTTAGAGGGCAAATTTATCGAGACAGATTCGATGATGTAAGCCATACTTGCTCCAATCCATTCGGATTTGCCTCATAATCTTATTTAGATCTAGTCTTCTGTCTCCCTCAATTCCTATGGGTATCAGGCGGGATATTCCGCAAATATCAACTCTAACTGTAGCAATGTTGATACTGCTTCGCCTAAAAAGGCGATTGCACTAGTATATAATTATATTATGTAAATTGGAGGAGCACTAGCCAGAAAATTATATAAAGTTGCAAATCACCCCAAAAAATCACCTGGCACTGGTCATTCAATTCTGGCAGACATATTGATGCAAATTAGAGAGAAGAATTTATAAAATTTGCTAAAATGATAGACAGACGAGAGTATGTTGCTACTTTATTTCTATCACTAGATCAGCCTCCTCATAGAAGATGTAAGAGCCTATTTTATTCATTTTGATTCAATTGGTCGGATTGAGGTTTTGCTTCCGATCTTTCTAATTCATTTGGCAAGCATTTCCAGGACAATATTTAATTCATGGGCAGGCCATACGAAAGCTAAGCTTCACGAACAGCTCGACAACGTCTGAACTTCAACTTGATAGACCATACCCAAGGTTGGTTGCCTTTACTCCTTATTGCTAAGCCCATCCGGTTTATATGGGTAGATGAAAACCACTGGTCCAACCCTTAACATCATAAATTAAAATTCCAGACTCTTGCACAAAAGCTCGAATCTTTATTCAGTCATGTTGCTCCCCCTTTATCGGTAAGACACACACACAAGGCAAATCTCAAGTGAACCAAGAACAGAGACATCTACCAGTTATGATAAAATCGCGCGCTTGAAATAAGACCAGATAGTACCAAGAGTGGAATAATACGCAATGGTAACGCTATTAATAACAGTGATGTATACATATACTAGTTGCGTAATAATAATAATATTATTATCACTAGAAGGTCTCCATGCTGAAGGCTAACTAAGGTTATTTTCCGCTCACCGACAAGATCCAGTTACGCTCAGGAATCAACAAGCAAACAATGCAAAGGAGAGTGGCAAGTATTAAGGGCCAATCTATTATTATCTCGCGCTAGATAAATTAGTTCACGCAGTAGAACACACATATAAAGAATTATTAGAAGTTGGCCCAAGCATTACACTTTTGTATTGAGTATGTTTTAAGACAATCATATTCGCAACTAAATCTTGCAGGATACTACTTGTGCTATCACCGCAATAAAGCTGAGATGTATACTGATATGTCAGATCTATAGGATCGACCGATTGGATTCGATCAGAGCAATTTAGTAATGCTGATGCGATTTTACCTTCAGATAAGATAAAATTGTCACCAACCGAAATGCACTCGGTGGTGTCGTCATTTTCAACAAATCCTAGAAGTCAACCTGATTGATATTTTACTTGTAGGCTGTATCCTTTATTTATTTGTT